CACACACACACACACACACACACACACACACACACACACACACACACACACTGTCCTGTCTCTCTCCTGTCACAATGCCTCCAGTGTGGTCTGGCTGTGTTTGCTCTAACTATCAGAAAGCTGTCTCAGTGACTAACTAGGGTCTTTGTTCTCGACACGTCTCTGATTATTTTCCTTTCTTAAGGCCACACATCACAATCATCATTGAGCAGACCAGATGGAGCTGCTACACAAGTCTGGTTAGACTCTTCTCTAATGGCCAAAATGTTCCCTTTTACTTTAGATAAGGATGATGTTTAGCTTCCCATGCAAGACAGCAAATATAACCAACAGTTGTTAAATCAAATCATGGCATTGTATGATTGCTTTGATAAATTACTACAGTTAGGCCACATATAATCCCATGTGTTTGTTACCTTTGTAACGTAGTAGACACACTGCTGGAAGGCCAGCATGATGACTTCCTCCAGGACGGCCATCGTCTCCTCACTGGCTGAACGGACACACGACAGACGAAGCTCCAGCAGGGCTGAAACACATATTCACAGAAGCATAGATATCTATGAAGTGAAATGGGCTGCAAAAGAGTACTGTGTTCTAAGAGAAATGACAGAACTTGGCACTTTATAGTAGTTTTATGCCAACAAAATTTCTTTCACTGATCAAAAATACTGACAATGAGTGTGTCAGTCAAATCTTCTGTAGAGAGACTGCAGTTTAACAGCTACTTCAGAATAAATTTGACATTTTTCTTATAACGTTCAGCCTGCAAGTTCCTGTATGCAAAGATTTTGTGTCTGCAACCAAAGCCAGCTAGTAATTTGATCATAAACAAAACCTATTGATGAGACAAAGTTTAACAGAAAAACCAACAGCTTTAATAAGATCGCTGTTGTCACCTATACGACTAACCCAAGCTCTCTGCTTCCTTGCTGTCGTCATCCTCCCTCTCTTCCTCCTCCTGTCCCTGCTCCTTTCGGGTTCGCCACTCCAGAATAAGAGGCAGCTGGTACTGAATGAACTGCAGCAGCTCCAGACTGTTGGACATCCACGCCACCAGGGGGCGCAGTCCCGAGATCACCTCATGCAGGCTCAGCTCTTTTAGGTATTCTGAGTTTGAGCCGTCATCGCTGAGTCTGCAACACAAGAAGAAAGATCAGCAGTGTTCTCTGTAAACTATCAAAGGTGATAGCAGGAAAATAGAAACTAGCGTGCTTACGCTTCACGCTGAACTGCAGCTAGGTCCTTGGTGTGCTCCTGCATGAGAAGATAAAACACATTGGTGGCTTAATGTAGGAGGTGTGAGCAAATGCTGTTTTAACGTGAATAATGTGAATATGTGGATACAATCTGCCTCACTATGACTACAAAACCGGACATAAAGTGTGACTGCACAATCATCCAGTGTGAAATGGGCTGCATGCCAGAAAGTGAACCTAAGGGTCTGAACCCATGACCCCTTTTACCATTAAACGTGATGGTACAGGTTCCTACAAGACTGGCACAACTCAGAATGTGTTCTTTACCATAACTCAAAGGGAATATGTGTATTTCATGGGACAGATGTATAGGAGAGGGATGACCATTTCCAAAAGTTTCAGACTCTTGCATGTTGTCTAAGTTGCAAAAATACATTCATTCGCAACATTTTGGAATACCAAGTTAGACAGTGTGCAGGAGTCTGTTTAAAACATGACCATAACTCACCCACATGACATTCTGAACTGCACTCGCAGTGAGCAACAGGAGCCTGCGGAGGTCTGAGGTATGAAGACACGCTGATGAATGCTGAACACACATGCACAACAAAAAGGAGACAGTCAACGGTGGACTGCTGTTGATGCTGCTGCTGCTGCTTCCCATAGCAACAATCTCCTTGACAATACGATCCTCGTCCTCAGCCTTATAGTCCAGAGTCAGGCTGTGGCCTTCGGGGGAGCTTAGAACTGGAGGGCCTCCGCTGAGAGGCTGTCTGCAGTTTGTGCTCTGGAACTTAGTGCAGGTGGAGATGCAGGTGCTGCAGAGGATCATCTCTCCTGTGTGGCTTGTTGTAGCCGCAGAGGTGGTGTGGCCGAGTGTCCATGGAGAAGCAGGGAAGCTGGACTCAGGAGCAGCACTATTTGCATCCTTCATTTTCCAATAAACAAGAAACACGAGGCAGGATTTACATACATGTGAATTGATTTCAAAATAATACAACATATTGAATCTTGTAACGGGATATCAATCAGTCTGTCATCTTTGGAACAGACTGGTGTCTCACCTTTTGTGTCACAGCTAAGGGATCTTTGAAAAGGAACAGGTAGTGCTGCCCCAACCCAATAACATCACCAGGGCTGAGCTGCGTGTCATTTCTCAGCACTTGGCCGTTTCTCGTGACCACGGCGCCCTGACCCGGGCAGAGAATGGTGGGGCCGCCGGCGCTGCAGCGATGGAGGCAGCAGTGTCTCGGTAGGATGTCGGCGGCAAAGAGGAGGACGTCAACCTTCGACTCATCTTCGTGATCACTTTTCTGACCAATAACAATGTTTGGGCCAGCGAGTAGATAGATGACAAAGTCCTGAGTGCAGAGATACACGACAAGTTAGCATTTTTTGTCTGCAATTGTTGTCTCAATTTCATTGCGTCCAGTTTTGTAATGTGTTCTTTGAATTTTCTGTTGATATGTTCCTGTAGGTCTTAGTTTATTTAGCCATGCTACACTAACGAGTCCTTCTCTTGTGCGCCAGATGAAAAGCAACTACAGACATTTGCTGGAATAAAACTGCAGTGATGTTTGCTAGTCTTAATGTGCATGGTTTTTATGTATTAACAGGTGTCAGTTTACTACAGAGTGAAAGTAATTATTGTAAACCTGCATTATTTCTAACAGCCAGCAGGAGGCGACTCCGAAAAGAAGTCCAGTTTTATAGAAGTCTGTAAATAACGACCATACTTATGACTAAATTTGTTGTCTCAGTAAACATTATCCTCATATGTTTATGGGTCTCAACCAGTAGCTTCAAGCCTCCAGAATAATGTTAATTTTGCAAATTATGGTCCCATTTACAGTACAATAGAGGCTACATTTTATGGCAGGGCTACTTTGTGATCAAAAGGTCTCTAACATATCGCCGTACATTGTGTTCTCAAATTCTCATTCCAATGTACACCACATTCGTTGCATCTGGTTTCAACAGAACAAAATGGCAATCGTTAAAATTCCAAACTTGAAGCTTCAAAACGGTAGCTCACAAACCGATGGGTTACATCATTGTTGCTGCATCCATCTATTTATACATACATACTGTCTTTACCATTTATACATCAGCATTTGGATTCATTTGGAGTTACGTGTCCCATCCAAGTTTATTCGTCGCTCTCTTTTAAGCTCTGCTTTCGTCTGCACCGCCTCAATATTTGTATTTTTAGCTGCTAAGTGATCCACTGCTTTTAAAAGCTAATTGCTCACTTTGTCTGTCTCCTATTTGCACTGGGCAGGTCAAGTGCTGTGGGTTTAAATATGTACAGCTTGCTTTGCTTAAAACAGCTCAGCACTGTTTGTGGAAAACATGATAGCACGAGCAAATCAAATCATTTGATGTACGAAAATATTGATTGGTGCAGCTTTAAGTACAGTTTTAAGGTATTCGTATGGGAATTTTAAATGTCTGTTTCACTAAATTTCAGAGGGAAAGCTTTACTATTCAATTTGCACAATGTTACACACAAAACATGTTTTAAAAACATATTTTAGCATCACTATTATACTATATGTAATAATAAACGTTGTAAAGGATGCCAACTTGCATAATGACTGCTTTTACGTTTGATACTTCAGTTCTTTTAGTTGTTTAGTGTCGTCGTCTTGTCAGTAGGACAAATGTGTTTTAACCATTTTGTTAAAACAAGCAGGAACTTTGGCTTTACTTTGGTGCTGACATTTATTACTTCCACCATCAGCCATGTAACCACAGTCTCTCACAATGAAAGCTTGGTCGTCTGATCATGTGGGTCTGTTAGAATTACAGTCCTGATCCGAGCCTAATTAGACAAACAATGTTTCATTAAACCCGGCGAGCGGCACAATGTGCAGGGATTATTATGTTTGACATTCCCCTTGTGATGCCTGCTTTCCAACCGGACAGATTAATCTGGCTAAATGAATATACCAAACTCTCTAAACCTTCATAATAGTATTTGGGGATCTTTTGGGAAAACAACTGTGACGCAGAGTCATAATCACGGCAGTGTGAGAGAATTAGTGTGTGTGTGTGTGTGTGTGTGTGTGTGTGTGTGTGGCAGTTGTCCACCGTTAAAAACCAGTGGTAATCAGTCAGGAAGCAGTGCCAGGCCTGTCTTTCTCTGTTTCCTGATCACTGTTTTGACACACAGATTTTCTAAGTACAGTTCACTGGCCTTTCACATAGTGTTTCTCTCCTCTTTACGCTGAAAAAACATGCTGTTTTTTCAGTGTATTTTACTGTGAGTAAAGGGTATAACATTGTCTTTATTCTATTAATATTTTTGATTGTAATCTGACACACATGGGAACATTTAGTAGGGAAGCCAGGGTCAGCCTGCATGCATTGTAACCTGTGAAGGTTTTACCGTTAGCTAACCCTGTCCCACTTGTCTGTTATCGTGTGGCACATTTGCGTTTCATATAGATAACAGTGGCAGTTACCATTAACCTTCCTATTACCGTCAAATTTACTGACATTTTTTGTCCTTGGGTTCAATTTGACCCCAGCAATTTAAACCCTCAGAAAATTATCATAATTAAAATTGTTGTCCAAGTTTATGTGTAAATAGCCCTTTAAATAAAACTTAAAAGAATATGTCAGTCACTTATTTAGAGATGTTAAGCACTGAGTGGGGTCAAATTGACCCCCAAGATAATAGGAGGGTTAAAATACAAGGTGAGTTTTGGTTCAACGGGCACTTATGCCAGACAAAGATAAACCATCTAATCCCCGACTGCTAATTTTGCCGGCTGAAAAGACAACTGTGAAAACTAGCCTTTTAGAAAATGCGGCAAACTCTAACTATAGCACTTATGAACATATTTGCCCATGCTCCATGTTGGGACCGGTGCACTTGTGATGATGTGTAGTGTTCGGTGCGTGTAGTGTGACCTTATCTCGGTCCCATCAGACTAAACAACCTTCTTCCAGCTGACTTCAGAGTCTCCAACTTGTTTTATGGTAAGCTCTAGTCCAGATTTAATATGAGCTTCCTCAACAACGGTTTTCTGTTAAAGCTTTGAGTGGTGAACAACCTGGGTAACAGTTGTTGTATGCACAGTCTCTCCCACCTCAACTGATGAAATTCGTAACTCTTTCGGAGGAGTCATTGGTGTCTTGGTGGCCTCTTTTGCTCTCTAGGTTTTGTGGATAGCCTGCTCCTCGCAGATTCGTGCATGTGTCATATTTCATTCCTTCTATTTCTATATGGATTTAACTGTACTCCAAGGGATGATAAGTAACTTGAACATTTTCTTGTGTTAATCCCCTGACTTGTGCTTTTTCAATTACCTTTTCACAGAGTTGCTTGGAGTGTTCTCTTCACAGCGTAGTTAAAGCCAGAAGTACTGATTCACCAGTGACAGGACCTTCCACATAAGTTGTCTTTAAGTTACAGTCACTTGACACACATTCACTACACTCCAATGATCTCCATTTCACTAATTGGGTGACCTCTTGAACCAACTGGCTGCATCTGTGTTCAATTACGTCAGTCACCTTAAAGAGGTTTGTACAATCACTTATTTTGCATTTTATATTTTTACTTAATTTACATTTCGTGGTAGAAATCTGTTTTTACTTTGACATGGTGGAGTCTTTTTTGGTAAATTCTTGTCAAAAAAAGCTCCAAAAATTAATTGAATGATTCATGAAAGCAATAAAGGGGAAAACTTCTAAGGGGCTGAATAACAACGCTGTATGTTCATTGGCTATAAATGTCCCCTCTGGTTGACTTGTGTACGTGAGAAAGACTGCTAATAAAAAGACTTAAGTACAGTTCTGAGGTAGCCTACTTTACGTGACCATTAGTTCTCTTAGAAAAACAAAAAACTTCCTGCAACATTCTGACAGTAATGAGAAGTTTATCACTACTGGCAAACATGTTCACCGGTGGTTTGATACCACAGTCTCCCAGCAGTGCTCAATTTAAGTCACCCTCTGGTAACAAGTTTGCCATCAGTTTATGTATGCCATAAATTCTGGCACTAATGGTTCCTGGCAGAGCTGGAGTTAACGTTTGTGCAAGGTCATAATTTCATACGCAAATTAGATTTGTGGCAAATGTGCAGCGGACTCCTGGAGAACTTTGTGGAAATCTTACGGCAGGCTGCTAGAAAGTATACTGTGTGTTTAGATGTAAAGGATAAAGCCAGTATAGCTAATAGCTTGGACTGTTTGCCACATATTTTCCGCATATTACTAATGCAACGTGCTGCATAATGTTCTAAAACCTTTTTTTTTTAATGTGGCAAATATGTAGTTCACGAATGAAGAGTTGCAAGTAACGCTTGGTTACAGCTGTACGTTGTGAGACATACTAGCGGTTGCAGCATACATTAGAAGAAATGAGGCACAAAACCACAGAATCCATGGTTTGATTTCCTTATCCACACTCGCCATGCTTCTTGTCTCTCTCTGCTTGCTGTCAAATTAATTCAAATTGCCATCAAATTTAAATTTAAGCAGATAAATGCATTGTTTAATCAATTCCTTCAATATGACTACTGTGTCTTTCATTTTTACAAAGATTAAAAACACATTTAAAACTTTTTAATGCATCATTTATCTCCTACTCCAGCCCCACACTTTAACATGTGAAGCTTGACCGGTCTAACTTGCCTCGCTACTGTTGCTCAACTACTCTCGGACAGCTGTCTTTCAGGTCGGAGTGTGTTTGGATACCTGTGCGAGGCTCCAACCCTGCAGCAGCAGCAGGTAGGGACAGTCGTGAGGAGGGTGAATGGAGTACTGTGTGGTGTTATCGTCGCTGCTCTCCGTCTCCTCCCTCTCCGACTCCTCTCCTTCCCGCTCGCCCCTCGGCCTCGGCGGACAGAGGGTCTCTGTTTTGGCCCGCGACCCACTGTCCCCCTCGGAGGGAGCTGCCAGGCCGTGAATGTGATTCTGTTCTAAATCTGCTTTGGGGCACTGCTCTGAAGAGCGATTCAGGCTCTCACATCGACCCTTGACACACGTATCGTGATCCATGTCCTGTTTGGTCTCAGTGTCCAAGAGGTCCATCTCACTTTTACTCCTCCACAGTTTCTGGGTCCGACCCAGAGTTCTGTCTATGAGGGTGGAGGTCACTCTGGAGCGGCTCTTCTGCAGCTTACGAGCCTGGGCGTTGATGCCTAACAGGGAGACGAATAAACAAATAAGAGTGCTGGGAATGGTGTTAAAACTATGTGCAAATTGAGCTGCTATGTAAATACATTAAGAACAGGGCTAATGGAATGTGGTGATAGAGCGACACCCTTTTTTTTTTTTTTTCCCTCCCTGAAGCAAGGTGAAGTGCACATTTGTACATGGTGTGTTTATGCCAGAGTCAACACGGAGAAGTCCCATGCAGGAAACAGACCTCAGTGGAAAGAAAGACAGAGCTCATGGAAATAAAAAAAAAAAAAAAAAAACAGTTCACCCCCGCAGCAGGCATCCACAAGCTGACACTGATAGAAGGCTATCACAAGCTGCGCCATTCATAAAGCAAAACACATAACAGGACACGCTCCTACACCACGACCCCAGCTGTGTCAACCACAGAAGCAGAAATGATAGAAAACCATCCACCCTGCACCTTTACACCACCGTGCAGTGTTTGTGTCAAAATCTGTGCAAAGTTTTGAGTATTTTTTTGTCACATCATGCTTTGTAAGAATGAGTGGATCAGATCTTTTGCAGAGTGAAGCCTTTATAGTTGTTAACAGCAAAGTATTAAAGAGGGTGTGTCACTCCAAGACGTTTAATTAAATCACAGGGTGTCTGCAACATGCATTAAATTTACAGTTTTAAAGAACATTTTAAGGGCAGTAAGAATGAAACAGAAGTCCAAATTTGTGACAGAAATTGAAAAGGAAGAATAAAAGAAATAGTAGACCTATTAAAATATAGTTTGGTCTGCGTGGCTTGGCTGATTTTCACTGGAAAAACAGAGTGCCAACAAACCACATTTTTACTGTGAGAACTCTAAAACTGGGTTTAATACTGACAATGCTTCATTTAATGGTGAAGACTCATAGTCCGGGACAGGCAGACACCCTGATTCAGGATGTGGTGATCTGTAAAGCGATCACTCCCTAAAGCGCCAAAGGCTGAAGCGTACCAGCAGTGACGGTGTCCTTGTCTTTGGAGGTCTTCTCCTCCACAGAGCTTCTCTTCTGGATTTCAAACCGTCTTGCCAAACCCTCTCTGGGTTTCCACAGTGACTGCAGGAGGAGAGGCTTCTCGTTGTCGCCCACGACTCTGAACCCTTCTGTTCTCCACTGGAGGCTACCAATGGAGCCAATGGTGTCACAGAGAACATAGGACTCTGCCTCTTCCTTACCCAGGCCATACCTAGACCAACATAAAAGTAATTAACAATGGAAATAATCATATACAAAGCAATTTTGTAAAGTTAAATTCAAAAACTTAGCTAATGTCACCAGATGTTTTAATAGGCTCATGAGGCCATTATCACCTAATTTATTGGTGGTACACACATGATTTAACAGTCAGTGGAATTTCACCCAAGAGACTCATCTGGGACCACAATTCCAGTTTTACTTTTGAACCTAAGTCTTGTTTTGACCTTCACTCTATTTTTCACTCAGTGTTGGGTTACGTTTAGCCACCAAAACTACTTTAGGTTAGGTTTTGATAAGATTCTTGATTTGGGTTCAAATACACCACGTTGCTCCATTTTGTCCATTGCAGATAAAATCTCAGGTAGTCAAGAGGTCATTGAAGTTATCAGGGTTACTTTCCATTTAACAATGATCAGAATGGATGATATCACTCCTGTTGATTCTGTTAGAAGGTGGAGGAGGTCCCTATTGCCTCATATGTATGTGTGCTGGCATTTAATAGGCTGATAACATCCAAATCAGGTGCATCTTGAAGGCAACACAACAAGTTAAACATACCCAACATATTGTCCATATTAATATATACATGTTGGCAAATTGCTGCCCTTTTTATCCATCCAACAAACTCAAAAACAATGCTAGTGTCATTGGCTTTTCTGCCCATCTGATAACTGTAAAGCCAATGCTCACTCTACTTGTAGCTTTGTTTTGGTCTCCATCAGCTCCACCTGGGAAATATCTGTCTTTACAGATGCTAAATGCAAAGCTGTGTTCACCAGCTAGTTGCTAACTCTGTCTGTCTGCTGTTTGGTGCTGGGCAGGTGTACAGTGAGTTTTCAAGCTGGAAATTAGGTTTCGGGGAGTAAACAAGAACAGAAAATCTGCAACGATAAAAGCAAAACAATGAAGTAAAATGCTGTGTATAGTTAAAAGAGGCTGCAGAGTTGCATTATAATTCTGTGTGCTCCTCATTACATGCAGCACTTTTCACATTAAAGATAGATATATGGCCTGAAAAAATATTGATCAGTGCAGCTGTAACGTTGTTTTAGAAGGAAACAAACCTGCTTTTATGTGTTTCCACAAACTAGTCAAAGCAGAAGCGTATGGATGTTCTATTACATCTGCACACATCACAGAAATAAACTTATCAGGAGTCATGTTGTTACCATGTGCTAAACCATCACTAAATGCATGATGTAGTAATGACACAGCTAAATGTCACTGCTACACTATACATTTTTCACGGAGAGAAAAAGAATAATGATTTAGTCTTTCCTCTACAAGCTGAATACCACTTGCATTAATCATTCCATTATGTTTTTGGCCAAAACATACGCAAAGACTGACAGACACTGACTCTCTGGAGACGCTGCCTCAGAGCTCGTGCCGACACTGGCTGTCTCTCACACAAGTCTGTGGTTTGCTTTAGACCTTTTCAGAATCACTAACCGAACGGTTTGGCACACAAACACTGTGTGCACTGTAATGGAATTACAATAAACAGAACAACGGGTCAAATAGACTTTGTTCATCTGAAATATACTAATCAAAAGAACATGAACGTGCTAACCTTCCATCAGCCGCCAAAACTTCACGCATAAAAAAAACTGTTCTGACGGCTTTGATATACAAATGATGTAGCACAGAGGTAGGGTGCAGCAGGGGGAACATGTGGATGGACATAACTCACCCCGAGCAGACACACAAGGACACACATACAAAGCAGACACATATGGCAGGCAGGCGGACACGTGTGTCCAGATAACACATGGTCTCACCGTTCGAGGGCCTCCTTGACGAGCTCTTTTGCGCTAGAGTGTGTGGTGGCCAGGACGCTCTTGTAGTGAGCTCCTTCACAGATTTCATTTCCAAAGATCTTGAGGATTCCCGGGGCAGTTATCTGATTGGACAGCTCGGCTGGGTCGTCCACTATTAGAGCATCTGCAGAGATCACTGAAGACATGGCGAGACGTGGAAAGAAATTTCAACGCAGGCTCGTGAGCACTGATACAAGACAACAGTCCCACATGTGATTGCAAAGGCAATCAGTGGAAACCTAATCACTGTTTATCAGGCTTGTTGCTGCATTAGTTTTGAAAAGAGCACACAAGAAAAGAAGAGTCTGAACTAACAGGAGACGATGCAAGACATGCATGAAGGAATGTAATATAAGGGAAAGTAGCACTGCCATTCAAAACCACATTAATAATCGAGCAATTTTAAGAAGGTATGTAGGTATTTGTACGTATAGTTTGCCTTGTCAATTTCCCAGGGTGAAAGTATAATGCGTGGTGAGAATTTACTCTGCAGTATGCATCAGTCACACAGGTAATGTCTTCACTATCGGAACATAACAAAAAATGCAGGATAGCTACTGTAGAGGCAGTCAGTTGTCTCAATGGTTGCAGTTAAGTTCTGCACTTCCATAAAGTTTAAATGAGTAGTTTAAAGTGATTCAAATGGAAACAACAGAGACTAGAATGGAGGTTTCTCTGATGCTACCATCAGCATCTTTTCCACTGCAGGGACTTGTAGGCTGTTTCAGGGTGGCCTGAACCTTTGAGCATGTTCCTATCACAGGAACTGCCCCTATAGAACCTCTTTGCAGGGCTGTTTTTGTGGGAGAAAGAGTAACTACTCTAGTGTAGGTACTTCCTGCTGTACGGGCCTCAACTCTGTTTAGTTAAACTCTGAGAAAACAAGAAGTGCCATTTTACTGCCCTCCTGATGTCCTCATGGAGTAGCGGTCTTCTCCTCTCTCACATCGCCATCCTTAATGTAAAATTTTCCAGATAATCTAACACAACAAACCCCCATTGTTTCTTTTTCCCTATGTGTTCGCAGAACTAGAGTTACATCCAGGAACTACGATTTGTCATTGTTTTGGTGCACTCAGACTTTTTCCCCCAAAGTAGAGGGATGAAACAGGGCCGCAGTCTCAGCACCACCCTGTTTAACATCTTTATGAGGAACTGGCAAACCACTAGAACAGTCAGGTGTCCCTGGTTAACATCGTGGTTGAAGCTGTCAGATCCTACACCACAATGGAAACACAGAGGCTGGGAGGGCGGACTACAGCATAGATCAATCCACTGTGCACCTAAACCGAGTTCCTGGAAAGCTGCCTTTTGTTAGACCCTCCCTGCCTGTTAAAGGATCAGGTCTTTTCAAATACTTAGTAATGCAAGATTTGGTGCTTTAAGTGTTCAGCTTAAAAGCCCAGATTTATCACTTCCTCTAGACCCACAAAAAACACAAAACTGTTTCCACAGCTACTTCTGTGACTAGTAAACTGAACTTTATGTGTAAAATCAGAGGCTCCTCTAAAGTGGATGACTTATGGATCTCAGTATAGACATGCAGAGAGAAAATAATGTCAGAGTGACGTACTGCTGGCCTTCCTGGCTTGGACGGACAGTGATGACCTGAGTCCTGCGGTCAGCGCCATGGAGCCTGAGCTGGAGGCGGGCCGATGGAGAAAGACACCTGAGAGACGGTTGGTATGGCGACGGATGCGGCTCTTGCTGGGCTGTCGGACGGCGACGCCCTCGGCTGACCTGCAAGTAGATAAACTGCTGGTGGATGAAGCTGACCTGGTGGACGAGAGAGAGAGGACGGAACATTTTCAGCTGGAGGACTAATAAAGCAGTCACATTAGAGAAGGGAGAGCCAGGAAAAAATAATGAAGAAGCAAAAAATATGGGCCTAATGATGACAAGGACAAAAGAAAGCATTTAGCGGAAAGAATTAAAAATAAGCACACACTGTATGAAAAAATTGTTTAAAAAAGAAAAAGAAAATCTGACAGCAGGGTTGCCAGAAAAAAGTTTAAAAAGCTGTGGAATACTAGAACATTAAACACTCAAAAAACAGTGAAAATGATGGTAAATACCTGTAAGATTATTGTATTTTTTAGCTGATTTTGATACAAATAGTGTAATTTTACAGTCACATGCTGTAAAAGAATCTATTACAATTTGTATTTATAATAATTTACTATTTGATGAGGACATTATCTGCAGTTTTGTCTTTTGTTTTGTTTTTTTTGTTGTTATATTTTTTACAGTCAGCTTTTAATTGTATCTTTTTCACAGTTTTTTCACTTGATATTGTTCGTAGTTTAACAAACAAGAAAACAGTAAAATAAAAAATATTTAACAGTTTTTAAAATAATGACACATCTGTAAAATATTTTGCTGATTGGAATACAGTAAAAATAATGTAGTTTTATGGTTAAACATTTAAAAATCCTGAATTCTAGACTATGAAAATACTCTTTTTTAAAAAAAAATGCGGACAATATTTACACTTTTGGTCTGCTTTTGTTGTGGTTAACATGTAAATTAATACTTTCTTTCTATGATTTTACTGTAATTGAACAAAACAGGGAAAATCTCTTGTATCACAGTAAATATTAACAATAAAAAAAGTTATTTTCTTTCTTTCTTTCTTTCTTTCTTTCTTTCTTTCTTTCTTTCTTTCTTTCTTTTGTTTTGTTTACAGTATATTTAAAGATAAACTGTAAGACAGGCAGTTTCATAGCTAGAAAGAGAGCTGCTGTGCTCCAAAGTTATTTTACTAATAACTGCTGTGCAACATATCAGTGAACAGCATCTTCTTCAGACCCTCTTTCAGGCACAAATAAGACTCTACATTTCAAGTTGTAGGCACATAGAGCTCTCTAAACAGTCTTAACACAGTTGATCAGGTCAGAAAACATTCACATGAGTGAACAAATAGCAAGTGACAGCACTGAAAAAAGAAAGGAGAAAGGAAAATACATTTGAAATATAGCAGTTCTACCAGTAAATGTGTGTTAATTATTCCATAAATCAGGACTGACTCTGATATATATACGTACGTGTGTGTCCCCAGCAGCCTGCTCTGGTCTCCTTCACCATGCCTCCCTCAGCTCTCCCAGCACACTAATGAAATAATGAAGGTGCTGTTTTGCTCTGACCAAGCCTGTAAGCTTCTTATCACTATGGTTCAAAGGTTCTCTGCAGTTACGCCACCACTAGGATATTAAAGATTTTTCATTTCTGATTAATAATATTAGTGGAACTGGTGAAGGTTTGTGACAGAAAAGCATTACAATGTTGTGGCACACGAGGAGTTTGAATGCATTATACAACTGTATTTAGAGAACAGTGAGAACTACTTCAAGTCCTGTTGGCTTAAAATGTGTCCTTGTTATCATTATTATTACTATTTTAAGTCCAGTTTCTGAGTTTTGTGCACAGTTTCTAAGTCAAGCACATAAAAGCCCTCTGAACATACAAGAGTGGACTGACTTGTACTGATATTAATTCTCAAATAACCAGTTTGTACAAAGTGTATTCAGATGATACTCACTGCTGAGAGCCATCACTGGTCTTCCTTCCCAGCCTGACAAACCGTCTCTTCGGGGAAGCTGCAGGTAAACTCTGAGGTCTTGGCGGAAGAGAGCGCAACTCCTCAGGGGAGTTTTTCATCTGATTCATTCCTGTCTGATCCTCTCGGGTATTCCTGCTCAGTATGAACGGTTGCAGATTTGATTTAAATCAGCTTCTTCTCGTGTCCCATCGGAGCGCAGCTGGTGATGCTTCATTCCTGAGATGTTCCTTCCAGGACGAGCGGCACGAAGCCATTCAGCTGCTGCTTCATTTTACGCGCACGGCGCTGCTGATGTTTCCAGCCCTCATCCAGCTGTTGGAACTGCTGGCTGCCCGCTCCAACAAGCACGGCTCGAGTTACAAGTTCACCTCGTAGTTTGTGAGACGCTAAAACATGAGATGACTAAAACATATTTAGCTGTTAACAGGCCAGAAGATAGACGAATCCGAGCACCGGTTGGATTCTGGGATTCGCTCTTCGCGCTGCCAGAGGACGCAGTTTGTTTCAAATTCATAACGAACCCGCTCTCCAGATGTGCGTCCACAGCGCAACTGCTTGGAGATGCCAAGAGCGCACACACCCGCCCACCCACAGTAAAACTTTCAGAATAAAACCGTGACAGAAGAGTTACGGTGGCAGTTAGCACATTATTCAGCAGGGCTCTTATTGAGGAAGACCTCTGGACAGAAACTATGCTCAGCTAAAGTGCCCATCAGCCCGAGAAACAGGCACAGAAGCCAACTGAGTGAAGCAGTCTCTCAAACATTTCTGCGTCCATGACTCCATCTTCTGGCTGCGCACAGATCACACCTGAGATTAGAGGATTTTTTGTAGGCAGGGGTGGAAAGTAACTAAGTACATTTACTCACTGGACTGAAGTTCTCTCTGGGGAGGGGGCTGTACTTGAGAGGTGCTTGAGTATTTCTGCTTTTTGCTACTTTCTGCTCCAACTTGAGCACATTTCAGATTAAAATATTGCACTTTCTACTTCACTACATTCATCTGACAGCTACTTTTTTAGATAAAGACTTCACATAATGGGAAATTCCAGCTTTGGAAATGCAACACATTCTTAAAGATTAGATTCTGTGCTGCAGAATGGTCTGGCTTTGCAAGACTATTAAAGATTAAACTCGTGGCTTCCAGCCTTTTGGCTTCTTACATAACTGAAAACAGATTTGTGTATCAGAACTTAGTGTTTTCTTCTTTCCTCCTCCATTAATCATGTTTGGAGCCCTCAGATTTATCTGTTTTCCCAGTAAATAAAACTGGATGTAAAGTAGTTTAAACTAGCTCCACCTGCAGCAGCTGCAACAGTATTATTAATCTAATCATGGCATGTATAATAATATAAATATGTACTTTTACTTAAGTAGTATTATTTGTGCAGGATCTTTACTTATAACGAAGTGTTTTTCTGTTTTGTATTTTCACTTAAATAAAGGACCTGAAAATGTCTTCTTGTACTGCTAGTAAGTAATTCAGTAGTAGTCTATAGGATGCAAGAAATGGTCTAAAAGATTTATTAGCTGCTTTTGCAAGGTCTGACAAGTTCAAGACAAAACTTATTTTATTGTTAACCTTCTTGAAGGAGTGCTCCAGTGATTTTGTGTTCTACTTTCATGAAGGCAGGGGACACGTGAAAGACAGATGAAAATGGTTGCAGCCAGGGCTCAGAAAGCCTGAACTTTATTCCTGCAGAATCATACATCTTGCTCAGGACATTCACCTTTTTGTCATTAATCCGTTTAACCCTGAAACAAATCTTCTCCCATGTCAAAGTTCTCTTGCAGACTGCATCAGGTTGTCCTCCAGGATTTGGATTCATTTTGCCATCTACCTTTTACAAGCCATTTCAGGGCCTGCTGTCTAGAAGCATCCCCACATCATGATGCTGCCACCACCATGCTTCATGGTGGGGACGGTGTGTTTGTGATGATGTGCGGTGTTTGGCGTCTGCCAAACATAACATCTGGTTTAATGGCCACATTTTGGTCTCATCAGACCACAGAACCTGCTTCCAGTTGACAGAGTCTCCCACATGCGTTCTGCTTGACTCTATTTGAGATTCAACACAACCTTATTTCAACAGTGTCTTTCTCTTTGCCACTGTCCCACAAAGCTTTGACTTGATGACAAACAGTCAGCAGTTCTTGTATGCACAATCTCTTCCATCTTAGCTGGTAAAAGTAGTAACTCCTTAAGATGAGTCATAGATGTCTTGGTGGCCTCCCTCACTAGCCTCTTTATTGCAGTCACTCAGTTTTTGAGGATGGCCCACTCCAGACATATTAACATGTGTGCCGCATTTCTTCCATTTCCTAATGATGAATCTATTCCAAGTGATATCAGATGACTTGGAATTTTTCTTGTATCCATGCCCTGATTTGAGCTTTTTAGTAACCCTTTATTGAAGTTGCTTGGAGTGTTCTTTTGTCTTCGTGGTGTAGCTATAGTCAGGAGTACTGATTCATCAGTGACTGGACCTTTTTACATACACATGTCATTATGCTACAGACACTGAGAGACATGAACTGCACTCAGATGATCTCCATTTCACTAACCGTGACGTCTTGTACCATATACCTATATAAGACTTATGCAATCACTTGTTCAAAAAACATTTTATTATATTGTTATATTTCTAATTAACTGGCATTTATTTGTGTACATCTGTTTTCACTTTGACATGGAAAAAGTCTTTTTTTTGGTAAATTCTTATGAAAAAAGCCAAATTAAGTCGACTATGATTCGGTGTTGAAAATGGGTCAACTTCTAAGGGGGCGTGACTATTTTAGGGCACTGTGAAACTTCTTTAATTGACTTCTCATTTGAAGTGTTCTAACTTTCATACATAAAATTGGTGAATAGCCCCTTTAAGTCAAAATATGTCCCAACTTTTGATTTTTGTGGAGTGAGTTAAGTTTGTGTAAGTGTGTCTTTCTTGCTGCAACCAGGATCACCAGCACAATTTAAAATGTACTTAGTGCTAATATTCGTCTAATTAAAACTTAATTCATTGACAATACTAAATAAATATTCGTGTAGCTTCCTCTGCAACTCTGCTCCTACGCTCCTATGTCCGCTAAAACATAATTCAGTGTTAATGCCAATAGCCATAATGTCATCCCCAGTTGACCACTAGATGGTGCGCTCTGCCTTGGAAACACCTAAGCAGAGAGTGTTTACAAAAGTTAAACAGTTTGCAGAAGTTATACCTTCATGCTGTCATTGTTTGCAGGCACAATAAAATACAAGGAAGAAAAAATGGATACAATTATTAAATATTATGATGATACTGTTGCAGGGCTGCAAGGTGGCGCAGTTGGTAGCACTGTTGCCTC